AATAAAATATAAATATTATTTATTTATTTAAATCAATATAGTCCAGTAATTATGATTTCACAGTCATTATGTCATCACTGGGTTATGGACAGAAAAATCAAATAGCAAATGAAATCTTTGGCATGCCTGGTACTTAGTACAAATAACTCTTCTGCTTCTTGCTATTAATTATTATTCTCCAGATCACTCTCAGATTTGTTTCCATCCTAGGTGTAAACCGGGATATAAGGAATCAGAAATGGAAGAGAGCTGTGGAACAATGAGGTTCAATCCCCTCATTACCCAGCTGAAGAACCTGTAGCTCACAGGATTTAAAGAACAATGAAACAGATCGTTGCTATTTATTGAACACTTGTCATGTGTCAGGCAGCCAAACTACAATGGTGACTTAGGAACTATTATCATCCTCATTTTACCAATGAGGAAACTGAGACTCAAAAACAAAAAGAGAAGAGGAGGAGAGAAAGGAGAAGGAGGAGGGTGAGGGAGAGTAGAAGGAGGAGAAAACTTGCTCTAAATTTTGATTGATGTATCCAGCCCCAGAGAGACCTGGTGGCTCAGTGGCTAAGCGCTTGGCTGCTAACGAAAGATCAGAGGTTCGAACTCACCAGTTGCTCAGCAGGAGAAAGATGTGGCAGTTTGCTCCTGTAAAGATTACAGTCTTGGAAACACTATGGGGCAGTTCTTCTCTGTCTTATATATCCTATAGGATCGCTGTTAGTCAGAATTGACTGGATGGCAAAGGGTTTGGTTTTGGTATATTCAACTCCAAAGCCTGCTCTCTTCCATTTCCTAACATTGCTCCTCTACGGGATGTAACCATTTAGCTCCAGAGTATGGGCTAGTACATAGCTTCTTCCCTTGACATAATGCTCCTTCTATTATTTCTTGTAATATATGGGATATAATATTTCATGGAGGTTTAGTGAGTCAGTCACATCTAAGTTTAAATTCTACTTATTCAACTAAATAATTTTGGTTTTCTTACACATAAAATAACACTCCTACTGTCATTGAATTGTGATGAAAATTAAACAAAATAATGAATGGAAAGTGTTTAGGGCAGTGCCTGGGATTTGGTGGGTTCTCAAATAATAAAAGGCCACTCCTAAACAGGTTTGTAATAAAATTCTGTTCCTCAAACTGAACAGAAGATATATTCCAGGATTTCTGGCTTCTTAAAGGAGGAAGAGGAGAGGAAAGGGGAGAAGAGAGATGAAGAGGAGGGAGACTGAGAGGACGAAGAAATGAGCTCACGGTCACACAATCAGGACGGGGTGATCTAAATTCTAATAGGTATATCCAACTTCAAAGTCCACTCTCTTCCTATCTTACGATATTGTCTTCTCTAAGGAATGTAACAGTTATAGACCTTCCATTTGCAACATGGCTTTATATTTGCCCCTCTCCCCACTGAACCCTCATTAACAAGTCATTACAAAATAAGCATTAACGTACAAGGACAGATGATAATGCAATCAGAGAAAACAGCAGATGAGAGAAGTTAATATTAAAAATGCTAAAATTAGTAAAGCAACTACAGGCTGCTTTGGCAAATGTTATTGACTTGCTAAGGAATGAAGTAAGAAAGATGGACTTACCTAAATTAGTGAGAAGGTAAGCAATTTTTTCATAAGCCTGTTAAGAGAGAAAAAATAGAGCATGCTATTCTTTTCTTTTAGAAAAAGTTGATAATTACAGTATTCAAAGAAACATCTAAAGGGTGTTCTACAAAATAGCTATGTTTTAAATTAAAGAGAAACCTTTATTAAAACCTAATATGTAGTCCTTTACATATATACACAAATGACATAGAAGATAAATGTGTTTTATATTAATATATGTTGTTGTGTGCTGTTGAGTCCATTCGGACTCATAGTGACCCTATAGGACAGGGTAGAACTGCCCCATAGGGTTTCTTTCCTAGGCTGTAATCTCTGCAGGAGCAGTTATTGACAGGTCTTTTCTCCAGTGGAGCTGCTGGTGGATTGGAACCGCCGAACTTTCAGTTAACGGCTGAACATTGTTACCACTGTGCCACCAGGGCTCCTTTTGAAATATACAGACATAGCTAAATAGCCACACTTTTTATTATCTGTGATAACATATTTTCTGGTAGCTATCTTTACTTCCGTTTTATAACTCAAGGAAACAAGATTTAGAAACAGCAAAAGTTGTTCAGCTAGTCAATGGCTGAGCTGGAATTTAATCTCAAAATTTTATGTACTTTTTACTACACTAGAAGGTTAAGTGGAAGTATGAAATCTATACTATTGATAAAGTATTTTCCAAACTATGACAAAAGACAGTATGAAAGCTGCATTCCTAAAGAACAAAATTGGTTTGGAGGCTATTTAAAATAAGGTTAAAAAGTCAAATCTATTGAATCAATAAGTCACATGGACAACTGATTTTTCTGATGAACACTTTTCATCTTCGGCTATCATCTCCTTGTCCCTACATACTCTGTCCACCACTGCTAAAGACTCAAGGAAAGGAAATATATGCCACAATATTCCACGTAAATATAGACAGGAATACATATTTGCTATAGGCAGAAAGATGATATATGTTTGTGTGTCCATGTGTGTGAATATGAGTACATATAACCATGTAATTCAATAAATTATCTTTTTGAGTATAAATTCCAACAACCCTGCCTGTTGGTATGGAAGATTACAAGGTATGTACCTGAACATTCCAAAACTTACTCACCTTTCCTGATAGTTCTTTCATTTGAACTATTGTGATAATGCATCTTAGCCAAAATTTAAATTTGCCACTTCCTAAGATTAAAAATATTATTCTGAGACAGAAATATTATACTGAGTACAATAGTCTCATTGTAGTTCTAGTGCAGTTTTTTTAAAGCTACACTCATAGGCTATCATTTTCAAACCTTAGGACAAGTCTACCATGAATTCATCAGCACCAACAATTCATCAGCACCAACAATTCATCAGCACCAACATTATCCTGATTGTAACATGTTCTTTTCCATACCCTGCTTATCAAGTGTCACTATGAGTCGGAACCGACTTCATGGCAGTGGGTTTTGGATGTATTGAGTTAGATGATTATAGCAGGGTCCCCAAGGAATATATTAGCATGGACTTGATCAATCAACAAATACTAACTGGGCAGCTACTCTACCTCTAGTACAGAGTTGAATGCCCTGGTGGGGATAGAAAAATTAAAAAAAAGAGAGTATTATTTAAATAACCTCCACTTAAAGAGTATTTGGCTTGTCCCAAGCAGTGTTTTACATACATTTTTATTTCATTCAATCTTTACAACAATTTTTATGGGATAGGTATAATGAACTAATTTTTACAGGAAACTAAGGTTTAGAATGTTAGGTACCTTGCCTGAGATAATGCTCATATCTAGTAAAGTCAGGATTTGCCTTCAGGGCTCTCTCGTATCATCTATTGTATGCCTTCCCATATAAACCACTTCAGATTTTTGTCCTTATTAGCACATAGAGCCTGTATGCAACTCTAGAATAGCAACGTCTACAGCCAATGCCCTAAAAGATTTTAATAACCTTTGGAGGAGTATCAATCGCAAAAAAATGCTGTGCTATGCCTGAAACTACTACTATTGGAAAGCTTTCTGGGGTACTTGAGAACCTACATCTACAGGGCCCAAATCCAGAAGGCCAGCTGGTACCACTATGATAATAAGCTATAAAATCAGTATGCTCAGAATGACTTTTAACTTCAAAATCCATAAAGTCAAGGAAGAAACCAGAATTCAAATATGCCCAACTGTAGTGGTTAAGAGCTTGGCTGCTAACCAGAAGATCGGCATTCAAATCCACCAGCTGCTCCTTGGAAACGTATGGTGCAGTTCTACTCTGTCCTGTAAGGTCGCTATGAGTCAGAATTGACTTGATGGCAACAGGGTTTTTTTTTTTTTTGGGGGGGGGCAGCGGTTTATGGCAGCAATCACTTTAGCAGGAAGAGGTAGGGGTGTGCGTGTGTGTGTGTGTGTGTGTGTGTGTGAAGTATAATGGATATGTATTTGGGGGAGGAGATGATGAGTGGGTTCAGGGACTATAAGGAGTTATTTCCCCGTATTTATGTCTGATACCATGCTGGAGAACTCATACTTTTAAAAATCACTTACTAGTACATTCTGTAAGCTAGAATTCTCATAGTCAAATACATTAACTGAATTAAAAAATATTGATTAAGAACAACAGTGAACCAAACAACAGTGAACCAAACAGACATAGTCCTTATTTTTGTGGAACTTAAATTTTAGTGAGCAGACACAGATAATAAACACATAAAAATGCAATTGGGTGGGAAGTAAAAAAATGCTATGAGAGAAAATAAAGTAGGGTAAGGGGATAGAACGGTGATGGGAACAAGGTATCGTTTTAGAGCAGTAGGGAAGCCTCTCTGAAAAGGGTAGTGTTTGGGCAGAGGACTGCATAAGTTAGGGAGGGAGTCAAACAGATTATCTGGGCTAAGAAGCTTCCTTACATGGGAACAGTGTGTGCAAATGCCCTGACACTGGCATGGGCTTGATGGATTCCATGAAAGACAAGGAAGTTAGAGGGACAGGCAGGTAGTGAGCAAATGAATGAAGTGGTGTAAGAGTTGAATTAGAGAGATCTTGGAGGAAAACTTTTTTTTTTTTCATTCCCTGGTAGGCCATGATAAAGACTTTAGAATTCATTCTGAGATGAGAAGCCATCATCTTTCCATTAATGCCTTGTTTCAGGGTGTTCTGCAGACATTAAATAGGAAAAGAAAAAGAAGAGCATAGGCAGGAAAAGGCTAAGGCTATTGTGAATGTGCATATTTGGGGAGTTCTAACATTCTTTTACACCTCTTCATCTCTGAGTCAGAGCCTCAAAATCTGGTCTTTACTGTGAAAATGAACTCCAAACAGGTATCTGTAGAATCAAGAAAAAACTTGCTTTTTCCAGTAATCTACCTTCTAAATTTCTAGAAACTATACACATAGAACCTGTACATAGATCATGAGGCAATGGTTCGAACAGAACAGGGGGATACTTCCTGGTCTAAAGTCACGAAAGGTGTGTGTCAGAGTTCTATCCTTTCACCATACTTATTCTATCTGTATGCTGAGCAAATAATTTGGAAGCTGGACTATATGAAGAAGAATGGGGCATCAGGATTGGAGGAGAATCATTAATAACCTGTGTTATGCAGATAACACAATCTTGCTTCTGAAAGTGAAGAGGACTTGAAGCACTTACTGATGAAAATCAATGACCACAGCCTTCAGTATGGATTACACCTCAACTTAAACAAAAATCCTCACAGCTGAACCAATAATCAACATCATGATAAACAGAGAAAATACTGAAGTTGTAAAGGATTTCATTTTACTTGCATCCACAATCAACTCCCATGGAAGCAGCAGTCAAGAAATCAAAGGATGCATGGCATTGGGCAAATCTGCGGCAGAAGACCTCTTTACAGTGTTAAAAAGCAAAGATGTCACTTTAAGGACTTAGGTGCCCCTGACCCAAGCCATGTGTTTTTAATTGTCTCATATGCATGTGAAAGCTGGGCAATGAATAAGGAAGACTTAAGAAGAATTGACGCCTTTGAATTACGGTGTCCGTGAAGAATATTGAATATACCATGGACTGCCAGAAGAACAAACAAATCTGTCTTGGAAGCAGTACAGCCAGAATGTTCTTTAGAAGCGAGGATGGTGAGACTTCGTCTCACATACTATGGACATGTTATCAGGAGGGATCAGTCCCTGGAGAAGGACATCATGCTTGGTAAAGTAGAGTGTCAGTGAAAAAGAGGAAGCCCCTCAACAAGATGGATTGACACAGTGGCTGCAACAACAGGCTCAAGCATAACAATGATTGTGAGGATGGTGCAGGACCAGACAGTGTTTCCTTCTGTTGTACACAGGGTTGCTATGAGTAAGAACCAACTCAATGGCACCTAACAACAACATATACGTAGACACCAACAAACTAAACAAATAACTTATATATTATATATAAAAGCCAACCCTCTTATTAAATGAGTCATTCTTTCCAGGTTAAGGTGTGTGGCCCAATCCTTTGATCCACCCTCTTCCATAATAACCCATTTTTCATTGTAATTGGTAACCAAGTGCTAAGTAAAGTTAGGTGTATTGTGAGTGCTTAAGTGATTACGTCCTTCAAAGAAGCATAGGAAAATATATACAGGATTCTAGAGATCCAAGTGGATCAACAATGTGAAAGAGTCCATAAAAAAAACATGGTGTACTTAATTTAGCCAAATATATTTAGTTTAGTTTTTCTCTTTGTTTTTGAGATGGGTATGGGGCTGTGTGTGTAGTGCATAGAATTTAAAATGAGAGAAGGAAGGAACACCAAAAGGAGGTTGTTCTTTTATACACTGTTCTGCAATGGCTTAATTGGCCCAATCACATATATTTCAAACTACAAGAATACTTCTACTCTGTTTCTACTTTTTCTTAAAAACTCACGTTAATAATGAGGCTGACACGCTGCTGTAACCTTTTTTAAATTAATTAATCTACATTAAGGTTTGACAGGGTTGCTATGAGTTGGAATTGACTGGACGGCAATGGATTTAAAGGTCTGATTGTCAAGGAACAATAATCTATACATTGCTTAGAATTAC